CTCCCACAGAAACTGCAGGAGTCACAAGCCCATGTCCATTGAGTTCAGCTTGGGGAATCTCATGTCTGTTGTGCCAGAGGCTCAATGTGCCTCTCTCTGTATGTGCTACTGGTAAAGGCATTCCTTGCAAATCGGTTTTGAGGCTTTTTGGCTTCCACTTTTGTGGTAAAACACCCCTCCTAAAACTTTGGGGAAAGGATGGGAGAAGAGGAAAACTGCATGCAACTGGCATTTTTATATCATTATTAAACTATTCTGATGAGAGAGAATCCTAGAAGTTTTTTAGTGATTTGAAACATTTCCATTTCTTTGGAAAAGTCTTTGCAGAAGCAGATTCTGGGATTTTGGCTGGCATTTCGTAGCAGCTGTTGCCAGCTTTCGTACAGGTCTGCTATAAAGTGCATAGACTCTGGTGTGCTATGAGACTGTGTGTTCCTAGATGTTTTGTCTCTGTGACAGTCCCCAGTCCTCATTTCAAATTTTAGAAGTCTGCACAACGATAAAGGCTTGAGCATCCCACTGCACAAGTGCAAATGAAAACTGCCTTTGCTTGACCCCGTAAGGCCCACCGTCTTTGCTAATAAAGATTCACTGTGTAACTCCCCATTAAAAGTGGCAGTTGGAGGCCAGGAAAAAATCAGTTATCCAGTGTTTGAAATATCCGTTTAGCTGCTGGGAGCCACCATTTGATCTTAAGCAGGATACTTAGATGTGTTCATTTTTAAGTGTCAGGTAGTTCAATGACTTCACTCAGCATTTGCATTTTATGGGGGTTACATGTAACCTGAAGAATGAAAGGAAAGTTTGCCATTTCCTGTAAACATTTTTGTATAAAAGTGTCACATGAAAGGCTGTTGGATGAAAAAATTATTGTATTGTGGAGTGCCTGGAAAAAGTCACTTAGGCATTATTTCAATCCTTGGCAGTAACTATTTCAATGTATATTGTTTGTTTAAGAAACCTAGAACACTGCTCCTGAAATGACTTTCTTACGACTCTGGGTACAGAGCCAAGTGCAGGGAATCTGTGTTTGGGCGAGCAGATAGAGTCTGTCCCCTTTGGGACAGTCAGACCATGTAAGGATGCAGAAGGATTCTGACTGTTTTACCTGGAATTTAATTCAGACCACATTGGCTCAGCATTGGCATAAGCCTGTAACCAAAGCAAGTAAGCCTAAAGGTCTACAGTCATTAGATGATTTTTTTTTACACCCCAACAAAAAGCATAATAATGAGTTCTCTCTTCGTCTTCTCAGGCTCTTTTGATTGGTTGAAAGGTGTTAAACATGCCACTCTCTTAGGGCTTTCATCTTTATGGCAACAGTGTCAAGTTGCTCTCCTTGAGTAATTATAGGATAAAAAAATAAAAGGGAAAGAACCTGGAAAAGCCTGGAGATATCCAGATGAGACAAGTGGAAAACACATTTTGTGACCATGTGGTGTAAATCAAAGATTTTATATATTCAATAGGAAATTTTGTCCTTTCAAGCGGCAAAAGTATTTTGGTGATTAATTTTATGTTTAATCTTGTATCCCACCACAGAAACAGAAGTTTAAAGAGTGATCTAGTGACTGACAACAGAAATACATTGAGAATTTCAAGCGTTGATATGTCTTCAGCAGAAAACAAGTACCAGTAAAAAACAAACCCATCCTTTTAATAGAGAAATTGGTGGCCAGGTCACCACCTACTTTGACAAGTCCTTTTCTCTTGTGTCATTTGTTGGTTTTGCTGTTACCTGTATGAATGATCAAGGAGACTGATGTGTCAGCAGGAGAGAGGTCACACACAAAACTTGTCTCCTGTACTGTCTTTAATTGAACTTCCCCTGTTGTTTCTCCAGGCTGGTGGCTTTTCTGCACAGATTTAGATGCAGACAGTGCCTCCAGGGAAGCCAGGTTAACATGATAGCTTGGTCACAGCAAAAGTCTTGAAAGATTGCAGGAGACCTGCAAACATTGATGGAGGAAGAATTTTTGGTAATGGTAATGGCAAACAGGTGCATACAAATAGAGGAAGGCAACTGTAAAAGGTCAGGAAAACACAAATGGAGTAGGACAGGACACAGTCTTAGAATGTTTAAAAGATGTTCGTCCAGAACATGTGGCAATTCTGGACACTTGAGTCATACAGTCAGATATTTTTCCCAGGAAACCTTTAAGCAATTTGAATGATATTTATTTTTTGGTGCTTAGGCAGCCTGTGAGTGATGGTATTGAGGAAATATGAAGAGGCTGACAAAATTGCTAAGCAGTAAACTGTATTGAGTTTATCAGGACCTAACCTGTCCAGCTCTGGTTTTAATTCAAGAATATTTAGTTATCAGTTGCTATAGTGAAGACACATAGATCTGAGGAGGAATCAGTCTCTTTCCTATCTGCTGGTGTCATTGTCCCTGAGGGAGGAGGGAGAGAATACAGAGGTCCTTATTTCAAATATCCCTCTTCTGGGGCAGTCCTCTCAAAGGATTTTAAAGTCCCAATAATTCTCTGCTCTTTGCTCTACCTCCTGAATGGAGGTTTCTCTAGGAAGTCTTTAGAGGCTGTTTGTCTGTTGTACCAGAGGAGCTGGGGAAAAAGCTCCCTCACCCCTTCTCTTCTGCTCATCAGAAGTAGCCACCTGATACTTTGCAAATTGTGGTCTCTTTGGAGGCAGGTCAGGTACATGTTATCCTCATATATTTGTAGGTAAAAGTGATGCTGAAAAAGGTGAACATGTTTAAGAGGTTAATTGGCCCCCAGGAGATACTTCCTCTATTGTACTTTCCTTAAATGTGTAAATAAAATGCTAAACTTGTTCAGTGGAAGCTTGAGCCCTGTTCTGGCCCCCATGCCCTGCTGCAGTGTAACTTGCAGTACTTCCCTCTGAATTGCAGAACTGCCCTTGTCAGTCCATTATCTGTGAAGGGAAAGGAGGAACCCTTAGTGCCAGCCATAGGAAAAGTCCAAGAAATTTCAGGCCAGGTTATTTATTCTCCTGATGTTGCATTTTGTGCTGTACCATTCAGGACAGAGCCGAATTCATGGAGGCAGGTGGGTGAAAAGCAGTTCTAGGCTTTTTCCCATCACAGCAACTTTCAGGGAATCTCTAATAGCTGTTTTCTTTCTTGCACTGATTGAGTCAGAGCCTTAGATTCAAAACTGCTGCCCTGACATTTGAACCTTTCAGGCAGACTGCTCTGGCAGCACCTTATTTTTCTGTTGGAAAAGGAGAGAAAAAAAATCATTGACATATAATTAATGGAGCCAGATAGACTCTGAAATCTGAGCAACACCCATTATTGAATAATGAGATATAAATTCTTCGTTATAAATCACTTTAACATCACAATGGCATGGGAGGATTCAGAGGAGATAGTGACTTGTTTTGCTTAAGCAGTGATCTTGTACACATACAAACGCTCATGAGAGATGTTCTGTTAAAGACAAATCTTTACAGGGCAAACAGAATCATGGACCAAAATGGCAAAATGGAGCAGGTAGGAAAGGTGGAAGGAGAGGCAGAAGGAGATCAAGATCTTACTTGGCCTTTTTCAACCTACTGAGTCCCTGTCTAATTTTGTTTTAGAATCAAGACTGTAGAGTTCTAGACAGGTGAACTCTCTCTTACATCGACTTTTCTGAGGTATCCATCCACAAACGTGTTTCTGTCTGTATAACTGTTGTCTCTCCGAATGCAAAATATTACTAATGCATAGCTTTTAATTGATTACTAAGCTATAATTAATTGTTCTTTTTAACTAAGAGGGAGCTTCAATGCTTTAAGATCTCCTAATTTTGAAAGTAATTAATTGCAGATTAAATCAGAAGCCACTTGTTAGGTTTAACAAAACCAAATTCAAATTTGAAAAAATGTCTTCATGCTGTAAGGAGTAAGTGTTACATGGAGCCAGTGGTTATAATTATAATTTGGATTATCTTTTTATCTGTCTGAAAGTATAAAATATATTTATTACATGAAACCTAGATAAGTTTTGGAGGCATATTATATAGTACTGTGGGATTCTGCAGAGATAGGTAGAGGTGTCAGACTGACACTGGATAGAAGCAAATGTAGGTTAGCTGAAATTCTAGGGCACCTCAGAGATGCTTTAAGAAACTGTGATTTTACAGTGTTTTTATGAAGATGAGAAAGAAAAACACAAACAAATGTTTACCTGTTTTAATAATATAGTCTGCAAAGATTTTGACATCTGTTTTTAGTGGTAACTGAAAGCTGAGGGATTTGGGGAAATTGAGCTGTCTGTGTGGGTAGAATCAGCGGAATGTTCTTTAATGCCACATCCCAGGATGTGAGCTGACAAAGCTGCTTTCTATGTAAAATGCATAAAGACACAAGCTTTTTTCTGCCATATGGAAAAAATAACTGAATCACTGGCAAATGTTCCAAACGTTCCAAAAGTTCAAAAATTTGTTCTATTTAGGCTCCCTGCAATTCAGAAAAGTATTGAAATTTTCCTTTGTTATCTCTGGACAAATCCCCTTTCCTGAATGCAGGCCTGCCCCATGCTCTCTTGCTTTGGCTCATTCCTGATCCGAATCAGCTCCACTCAAGCTCTTCTGTAGTGCTTGGAGGATGTCTGTCCATCTCACCTGGCAGGCTGCTGCCATGGATCAGGCATGCTCAGGGACTTTCCTCAGGATTAGAAAGGTACAAAATGTGTTCAGTACCTCTCCCTGTGAGGAAGCTCATCGGCAAGCTGGATTTGGAGACAACCCAGGTAAGCATTACTGAGTCTGCTGAGACACAGAATAAAAGTGTGTATTCCATGAAGCATCAGCAAAGGGATCCCTCCACACCTTTTGGAAAAGAAATGGCTGGGTGATTTTATGCTGATACATATCCAGGTGGACCTAGCTCTGGAAAATGTGATTTGGTTTATGCTGTTGAAAAAAGTCAGGTTCCAAGACAGTTTTATCAGTGCATTCATGATTCTCTGAGCATCACCCCTGCCATAATCTACCTACCCTCCTTCTTACATCTTGTTTTTACAGGTACACTGGAGACCAAGAGTTTGGAGCCTAACTCAAGTAGGACATAGCACAATGCAGTGACATAGTGCTACAGAATGTCTGAGTATCCCACAAGACCTGGGGACAGATCAGTACCAAGCTGGCTGGAGGAGCCCTTGTGTGCCTCAACTGGTGCAGCAGGTGTCAACTCAAGCAACAGGCAAAGGAAAGCAGCTACAGTGTAAAAGTTAACTTGTAAGAACTGTTTCTGGAAGAGTCAAACAGTAAGAACTTTTAATACAGTCTTGCTTTAATACCTGACAAATTAAAAATGCTCCTTCTTTTACATATGCTTTTTATATAAGTGTGCAGTTTCCAACTAAAATGTTCTTATATCTGATGCAACCTCTTCATGGGAACAGGTTTTCTTCTAAAACAAAATAAGGCATAAATATCTAATATAGAGTCTTTATTAGTGCTTTGTCATTTAATTAGTGCTTAAAACATTGATCAGTAGCTCCATGTACTTCTTGTAATTGCAAATGGCGTGCCCATGCTAATACTGCAAATGTTTTGGGCAGTACAGATTAAGAAGTGTGTCACCAATGAAATGTACATTAGACAGTTGTGTTGTGACATTAGGTTATTACAGTTTATTTCTGTTCTCTGGTCAGTTGTAGTATTCTGATGGGACTGGGGAAGATAAGGTTACAGGAAGAGGCTGATATGAGAAAACCTCATGTGCTGCGTTAGACTGAGTGGGTCAAATGCATGGCACTGTATATAGATAAAGAAGTCTCTTCTTGTTGGTTAGCAGCCCCTATTATGGAGCAGAGGAAAAGATAATGCTGCTTCATCCCTGTTTCAATCCAGTAGAAGTCCATTTTTCATCTAAGCTTTAGTGATTTTGACATGAGGTCTTTAGGAAGAGTGACATAAAAGAGAGGAAATGACGTTTGGAGAGGAAAATGCCACTTGACCTCAGAGGCTTGTCCCCCCTTAAGTTTTTCATAACCCCCACTTTTCTGTTTTGTCACTAGATCCTTTAATCCTTTCTCTCTCCATAAAAGTGCCAAGATGTCTCCAAACCACTTAGACTGCAGTGTTTCCATGTTCTTAGTTGGCAACTAATTCCATTAGTTCAATATTCTGACCCTGAGTGAAATAGTTTGAATTTCCGGTATACACAATTATTTTGGGTTATGACTTCTGACTTTTGAACCCGTCACCAGAATGCACCATTTAAATCTCTTCATCAGCTCTGAGTGCTGTCACTGGGTCAACTCAGTGTCAATATTCCTCTAACAGCATTATGCTACTCAGAATTTCTTCTTATGTCTTCTCTTAGAACAGCTGCAGCAAATTCTTCAATCTTGTGTTCAGAAGGCGTGATTCTTTCACTATTATTCATGTTCTCCAGGAATCATGGGATTGTTTACAGCTTATGGGACAGTTAGGTGCTTTCTGAAAAGTAAATTGGAGTTAGTAACTAATAGTCCTTGCTGCGTATTTCATGCTCTCTGCAGCTGTGCTGGGCTGCATTCTGGTCTCATCTGCAGCAATACAAGCAATAAGCAGCACAAGTAATTTTAGTACATGATCTGAGTGTAAAAAGAGGTATAACTTCAGAAAACTGATCTGCTGACATTCCTCTGTGTAGTAAATACATTCTATATGCATTTTTTTTCAGTTTAAAACCATGTTAATTTTCAAATATATAATTAAAAATTAGCAGATATTAAATACCCAATCACTGTACATGGAAAAAGATAAACTGATTTATCATACTATTTCTTTTACATATTTAGCTCTGTAGCTGTAGGAAGTAATATGATATTAAAGAGTAATTTTCCATCCAGTTGCTTCATCCATTTAATGTATTGATACTGTCAAATGCTCCTGTAAAATAAACTAGCAGCCCAGACTCACTTAATTCAGCCAAATACTAATCTACTAGTATATATCTTTAGTAAAGCCTGATTTGGCGGAAGGGAGTTCAATTGAGGGTGCAAAATGGACATACAGATGGATTCCCAGATGGAACTGTTTTGAAGTTTGTGTAAAAGCAGATAATAATCTCCTGAAATGCAGTCTCAGCCAAAAAAGAGCAGAAAAGGACTTACACCATTGAAGTGGTATTTACTATTTTTTATTTCCTTCCTTAGCCTGCTATCAGCCATGGGAATTTACAAGCTTTCCAACACAACTGAAGAAATCCAGGAAACCACAGTGACAGATACACTTGAAACAACCATTTCATGTGAGTGAGTTGAAAAAATACAAAATATTTTTTATCAGTGGCTGAAAATGTCTAGTGGAAACATCACTAATACTACAAAGTTCAGTGTAATGAAGAGTGTTTCTCATGCACAGCTGGCAGGCATTTGTTGGCATCAGTATTTTTTTTAAGTGAAGGTCACTGTAAGCAATACACTTCTCTCAGAAATGAGTGTAAGATTAAAAGTTTTGGGCACTTTCTTTAAGTAAGTGATTTGTTTTTCTCTTTAAACACTAATTTATAAACAAGAGATTTGCTAAGAAAATAAGACCTCACTTTCACTGAGAATACACCTTCCTTTTTCAATAATCCATCCAAGTATCCTGTCTTTGTATCGTAAATTTGCTGAAACTTAGGATGGTGACATTTCTACAACTTACTAATTCTAGAGGAAGTGTTCAGAGCCTGGCTTTGAGGAAGTGTGGTATTCACTTCTTCATTCACTTCTGATACAAAATTCTGGGGCAGAGAACCTGTTGGTGCCTTTATTTGTCTCACAAACTGTTACCATGGGTTGAGATAGAGAAAGCCATTTGCCAGAGTGAATCTCAGATCCCAAGCCAAGCTTCCAAAGCAAGCAAAATAAAATAAATTGAGCACAATTTAGGTGTAAATCAGTAAGATACAAGCAATGTGGAATCTCAAATGCAATACTGGTGGGAATAGGCAAACTACTGTATTTAATGAGGTACTACTGTATATCTGAGCATGTGGGCTTGAGATTGCTTTTGGAAAATACTCTTCGTCAGCTGTGCTATCCTTTTTGTTGTTTTTTTTTCATGCTTTGCTGAGTCTTCTGCTTAGTCTACTTTAGGTCTCATGAGTGGAAGTTTCCTTGACTGCTGTCCGCAGGTGATAACAGTATCACACAAAGCTGACACAGTTATGCCCATCACAAGTATGTTTTTTGGTGTAGAGGTTCATTTAGAACAGGTTTTTGGTACAAATGAAGGCAAATGGGCTCACACTCTCTGGGTTTTTCAAGAGGCTTTTTTTCTGGTTTCCACGCCATGGTTTGTACATGCTCACCACCAAGAGCAATTATTTCAGTATGACTGAGATTGTTTCCTGTAACACAGAACTCCATTGCTTCCTTGTTAAAAATAATCATGTGGGTTTTTTGTAGGTTACAAGCAGTCCTTGGAATTTTGTAATTTCATTGTAAGATGCCTACAATTACCAATTAACTTCAGGCTTAATTGGCTTACTAGCTTGTCTGCCTGCCCTTTAAATTTTCAGCATTTTTCCCAGACGTTCAGCAGAGTGTCATTTTGCCCTTATTTCATTTTTGTGGATGCTTGGTGATAAATTCTTCTTGGTTTTGATTCTAGTTTAAATAACTATGCCCATACAGAACCTAGATTGCCCTGTATAAAATTTTGTACTGGCACCAATGTAAACAGAGCTGAAATGGCTAGCAGGCCACAGCATAATAAATCAGAATGATTAGTCAGCCTCCTGGGACACAGATGAGTCAGCTCAGGTCAAGACACTTCTGGGAAAACTAGATAGCTGGTAAATGTATTACCAGCTGACTATCAAAGTCCCTGTGCCATACCAGGAAATATCCCTGCCTTGGGCAATTCTTCCTCTCCTGCAATGACAGAAACAGTTGTTAAAAATGCTCTCCTTTCTATTCCTTGCTACCTACTCTGGCAAGTCAAACAAATTGCTGCTCCATGGTGTCCTCTGTATTTGTGGGATAACAACACAGCTTTTTGTTAGATGAAGTACTATTTGCAGTGTAACATACAGCTTTTTTATCTTCTAGTAGAGGTAGAGGTACCTTATGATCTTTTAAAATTTCTTTATTTAATAATCTTTCCCTCTTACATCAAATGGGGTCCAGACTGTGATTTCAGAATAATGCAGGAATGTTCTCTTTTACTGCATTACATTCTACTGTGATGTACAGAATTAAAGTCTGTGCTCCCACCTGAGTAAGGATTATATAGTTTGCTCCATAATGGGATGTGAAACCAACCCCCATCTGTTCTCATCATTATCTCTTACTTTTCATACTGGCAATTAAGGGGCACTTGAAATGCCCTTTTGGGGCTAAACACTGATGTCTCAAGGTAAAGATGTTTCTTAAACTCATCTGGAAACACCCACAGCTCCTTTTTAATTTGACAGGCAGAGCTGATTAGCAGGTGCACAAGGCCCTTTGCCTGATTATTTTGTTTTTAGAAGTAACTACTCTCCACTACTCTCCAGATAAAATATAAACTCTTTCTACCTTAGCCTTTTCCATATCATCTTATTTTAGATGTTTCTAGATATGCCACAAACAGGGGGGGCCTTGGTAGTTTGTCCATGACCTCACCAGGGCTGAATTTACTAAGCAGTCTCTTAGTTACCTCTTCTCCTTCCCTTTGCTTTGGCCTATTATAATTTCTCAGCAGAATGGGTCAGCCAGGACCCATTGAACACCATAGGTGAATCCAAGTCTGATCTAATAATTTGCATCCATTTTTTATGCCCCTGAAGCTTTGGATAGTAACCTCACTCCAATGTGTTCTCTTTATCTCATGTGTACCTGTGTGTCAGAGGTGTAGCACCATCCAGAGATTCAGAACAAATGGAGCTGATGGGAGTGGAACTGTCTGGAAATGTTCCAGTGATGCCAAAGTCTGCAAACACAGATCTGTTGAGGCTGAAATATTAGGAATTACATGCATTTTTGCTGAATTGCTGCAGTCTTGCTAGAGAATATAATCTTGCATCTGGCATATGGCTGCCTTGGGAACATGATCCCAATGTCTCTTGGATCTCAGGCTGACCGTTTATGGCCTGCCCTGCATGAGGAGACTTTGAGAACTCCACAGACGAGCAGCCCACCCAGGCAACGTGTTCTGGAAGGGGTTCCTTGTGTTTGGTGCCTTTTCCAGCTTTGGAGACAGATATCTCAGAATCCAGATACTCAGCCTCATGTGTGAGTATATTCTTTGTTAGAGTCCTAGACAAGGAACTGAACACATTTCTATTCCTACAGGGTGTTACCTTCCTTGTATTTGCTTCTTCAGATTCCATGAGGACAAACATTTATATAAAGAGTAATTGCGACCTGGAATTTTACCAGTTAATACATATATTTCAGAATTTGTGTTCTGTGAGCCATTTTAGTTGTAATGTTTGTTTTTGAATTAAAGGCTTGTTTAACTTAGCAACCCAATGTGAATGCACCTATTGTCTCTTACAGTGAAGAAGTTGCAGTTGAAGACACATATATGATAATAATTTTGACTTTTTGCTGTTTGACATGTAGGCCTATAAGGTCTTTCATGATACATCTGAGAATTTTGCAATGCATGGAAAACGGCAGAGAAAAAAAAAAGAGTCAAATGATTTTCTTAGAGCCAATTTGTACATGCCAGTGACATTAAGCTAATAAATAACTTAGTGCAAATAGATAAAATTATCTACAAAGCAATATATTTGTTTATTTAGCCCCTCATTGCTGTTTTGGTCACTTACCTGCTTTGGCCAGAACCACACCTTCTAAACCTATGAAAAACTTGAATTTGTTTCAGAAGAGAAAAAAAGATTTTATTACAAGAGAGTTTATTTATTTCACTGTGGTAGACATCATTAAGGATTTGATATTGCTGGATCAGATAAGTGTAATTCTTAGGTTTTTCTGGCTAATCTTTTTGAAGCCAAATATTCAGAGAGCTTGGCAGTGGGTATTTAATAAACCTCAAGGTAAGATAAATGTCCGGTGGCCTGTCCAAGGTTCTGTTTTGTAGGCTGGATGGGATTCTAAGCCTTCAGACAGATAAATCATGTATATGGCTCCTGGGAGATTCAGATGTTAAACTGATCCTCTCCTGATGATAAAGCTCAGTTAAGTATCCCTTAAAGATTTTAAAATGTAGGCCTCAGTCCCACAGGATAAAGCACATTGATTCACTGGCTTCTGCTAAGGATTTACTTGAAAACAGGTGCTCTCTAGTGTGTAAACAGGGCAGGATTAAAACAGATTCCACCTTATTTTGGTTTCTGGGAAGCTTTTACCAGAGAGTATGGAAAACTGGTGTTACAGCCATATGGATACTGTTCTCAATGGCATAAAATCCCAGTGGTCTACAGAAACTGAATCTGACTGGTACTTTTGTCTGACTGAACAGACCTCGCCTACCATTATTAGGTTTTTTCTATTGCTGCAGTTGTGAATGGGACTTAAAAATATAGGCAACAACGTCAATCCCACAGTAGATGCCTGAAATTGAAATGCTCTCTTGGTCCTGTGGATTTCAATCTGTAACCTGGATCTTAACTCTACTAAAAATCCAGGTAGAAGTATCCTTCTGGTTTCACACATCTCTTTTGGACTAATTTCTTGCAAACAGAACTGCTTGATTAGAAGGCCCTTCCACAGGACTGTAAGCAAGCTGTGACAGCAATGCCAGCTGTGGCATAGGATTGTGTCAGTGCTGTGGGAAGATGGCAGAAGAGCTTAGTCCCTGTGCAGCACTTCTCATTCATAGATTCTTTGAGTGTCATTTTACAGTAATATACCAAGGTTACTCAGCAGATAAGTGACACAGATGGAAATAAGTCCAGGTGTCCTGAGCCCTAGACCACTGTTCCATCTGTCCTGCCTCCAAAGAAGTAATGTTTGCAAAGAGCTGTAGGAAATGCCCAATTTGCTTTATGTTTCACCCCGGGAAAGGAATGTTAAGTCAGCACTATTTATTTTCTTATCTTGATCTCACTAATTTTTACTTTTTAAAGAGCTCTCTCTGTAGTGGAGCTTCTTACAAACTCAAAACGTGTTGTTGGTAGAGCCTGGAAAATTTCTTGCAAGTTATTGACACTTGTAAAATGGTGATTCCCAAACTTTGCCTGTGGAGCCTGGAAAATGGTAGTGGGAGGAAGTGATCTCATGGCAGCATGTCAGCTGTGGTCTCATGTGCTGTTCTGATGCCACAGATGACTGGATTTGAGACTAAAGCATGGGTGGTTCTATCACTGCCCTGTCTTGGATTCCACCCCTTTGCCCTTGCTCTGAAAGGAATGGGTTTAGACGTACAAACTCGCAGTCTGTTTCTTGGTCTGGAGCTGAACAGACTGCAGGACTTAAAAGACCCACCACCCATTGCTACAAATCCATTAAACATCTCCAGTTAACCATAGAGCCTCCAGCTTCAGCGGCTGAGCATGTAAATTCCTGTGACCAAATAACTGCACAGTTAACTGCTTTCACATGTGCTCCCAACGTGCCCATCTCAAAAGGAGAAATCCTAGCCTGGCTGCGCCCCATGGGCAGCTGGACGGTGACCAGGACACGGCTCTTTGGGAGGCTGCATGGGGACCCCACAGCCTGGCAACTGCCTGTGCATGGGCAGAGGGTGTGAGGGCAAAGGCAGCCCGGTGCCAGCGGCACCTCTGCCTGTCCCTCATCCTCCTCGCCCCGCACCCTGTAAGAGTCAGCGGCTGCTGTGGGAGGCTTTCCCAGGATCTCATCCTGATGGAGTTGGGCAATAGGGCTGATGGTGGCTCCCGTGGCGTGGCCCGGTTCTGGGGTGATCCCCCCCACAGCCCCACCACACCTGTGCGAGAGGAAACGGCTTTTATTTTTATTTATTTATAATTTTATTTTTCCGAGGCTGCGGGCAGGTTTTGTTCCGAGCGGAACAATGCTCTGAGGGGCGAGGAGTTTCCCCCGGCCCCGGCCGGCACGCAGGGGCTGTGAGGAGGCACAGAAGGGCCGCGTCCCCCCGGGCCGGGAGCCCGCGGCTGAGGCGGCGCAGGCGGAGCGTGTTTGCCTCGGCCGCTGGCCGCCCGCCAGGCCCTGATGTTTCCTCTCGCCCTTGTTCGCAGAGGCATTCAGGAAAACAATCGGGAGCGATGAGGGCTTTCCCGTTCCGGCGGCGCCGGCCAGCTCAGCCCGGCCTGGGGACCTGCCACCAGCCAGCTCCGCGCTGGGGCTGGGGGACGGGAGGTGCTCAGGGGATTACTTTGAGATAAAAAAGCCCTCACCGCGGTGGGGCGATGGGTATATAGTCTGTGCATGAAGCAGGCTGTCCAAGGTGTCATCTGTGCCGAGGAAATCCTGTGGAACACAAACTAATAAGGACAGAAATGCTCCAGTTACCTGCCGTTTGCATTACCTGGAACACGGCAGCAATAAACGTGAACACAAGGAAATTTGGAAAGTCCCTCCTTGTACAGATAGAACCACACCAATTGTAATGGAGCCAGCCAGGTGCTGGGAATGCGCCTTCACAGCTCTGGGACTGCCTGAGACCTTGCAGGATGCTGATTTCCCTGTAGGTCTGAGCCCGTGAGCCGAACCGGGCACAAACGGGCAAGGACATGCTCCCGATGCCGGGGTTATTCCGTGTCGCCAGGACAGACTCCAGAGGAGTTCACCAGCCCTCGCTAATGACAACTGGGGAAAAGTGCCCACCTTGAGTCACTACAGTCCCGAGAAGCTGAGAAGCAGCTGCCAAGGCTGGTATATAATAGTAAAAATGAACTCTGGCTGCAAAGTATTTGCTGGCCTCTTGCTACTTCCCCGAACCACAGCTTGTACCCGTTCTCCTGCTCTCAGGAAAGAGCTGCTTGTTGGGTGAAGCCTTGCATGTGCATATGAGGCACTTTCAATATTACAGCTTGAGTTCTTAAGTTTCTGGGTCAAATTCAAAGGTGTTTCCTTGTTCAGTAGGCAGGAATGCTGAAACTAACGTTGAATCTTTAAGTAGTGTCTCTCATCAGAAGCCTGTACACAAACGACCATTGTTACTAGAACAAGCTTTTTTTTTCTTTTTCAGGTAATGATCACCTGACATTTAACTACAGGAACCTGTTTTGGAAGAATTATAGCCTTAAGGGCAGGTGCGCTGGTTATACAGGAGTTCATCCATTTTTCCACTGTAGATGTGAAAGCCTTTGACATATGTGAGTCTAAACAAATTTTTATTTTAATGACATTTGAAAAGCACCTGAATTGTTTTTAAATGGGTTTCTTTCTAAAATAGTCTCAAGAGCACAAGCTGCAATTTTCAGCTGCACTCTTCGTCCACATCGAAAGGAAGTTGCAGGTAGAAGCTACCTTGAGCTAAAAATGGCACAGTTCTTGTTGCTGTTCAGCTGGAGAGATATGCACGGCATGTTCCTCTTTAAGGCTGAACAGTTGTATCTCACATCCAGCAATACCAACAGGGAGTTTTAAAAAGCAGTCTACCCTGAGTGTTATGCCTTTTCATGCTCGAAGAAACACTAGGAACTCTGTCTCAGTTCCAGTGAGTTTGTAATGTTCCTTTATCTCTGTGAAGTCTTATGTTTTTCTAGAAATTGTGGCAGCCCATGAAATGGACTTCATTTTGGAATTATAAACTCTGAATTCGAATTTTATCACTTCTTGGAGCTTAACAGAGCACTAGGTTTGTGATTTTATTCACAAAGCCATGGATTATTGCAAATTGCTTCCTACTATTTGACAGCTTCCTTTTTAGAAATTTCAACACTCCAGCTATCTGCCTTCAGCAGTGTATGATTCTAATCACTGATATGATTTCATAATCCTTTAATTCAGCAAACATTCCAGATTATCAACATATGCGATTTTGTATTTTGGGAGAGCACAGTGTAGCAAAATTTTCCTGTTGTCAAGCTTTGGGCTTTGTAGCTGAAATGCACACATTGTTAACCAGGGGTAATTTCTTAGATGGAGTTTATAAATATGTGTAACTATTCTGGGTTGTAGAGATGACATTCCCTTCAATGAATGTAAGACATAAAGCTGCAGAGTTTAAAGCCAAATTCAGCAGGAAGAAAGAAAATTACTTCCATATATCTTCTGTATGTCATTAAATGGAAAATGAGATAATTCTCCCATACATCTGAAAACTAAATAAAAAGGTCTATTCTCCTCAGTTTCTGCGGATAACTTCAGCTAATTTTTGTGGCAGTTATGCACATTGATGGGAGAAAAGATGCCTCAAGTAGGATGATACGGTATACATATATTACTAAATAAAATACTCATTTTACTAAGGATAATCCCTCTTTGTTCCAGATAGATGTAGGCATTCTTCTTAAAGCAAGTGTTTCAGTTGTCAGGATGACTTGATACATTTGTTCTTTGATGTCAAATTCAGTTGCATCACTGTGGAATGGTTGCTACAGAAACCCCAGCCCAATTTTTAAATGTATTGAGTTCACTCCTTATTACTTAGAAAAGCTGGATTTGATTTCTTTCCTCTGAAAAAGTTCATAATAAAATGGGTGAAATCTCTAAAACTGCAGCAATAAGCACGGAAAAAGTTGTCAGATAGTGAGATCAGAGACAATAAGGAAAAAAACAATTTAGAGTCCAACAAACAAAATCTATCTCTTGATAAAATGCTCCCTGTTGTAATTGAAACCAGAGTTAAATTAGATCAATACCAAAATATTAAAGTGTGCCAAACCTGTTTTCTGTAGGCTTTGCTATAATTGGATTCTGATGCAAGAGATAGCTTAAGTAGGCAAAGTCTATTGACTCGAGACCATGATTATCCATAGAAAAAGAGCTTCCTACTAAGGTATACAGTACATTTACTGAGTGTTTCTTGAAGAATTCATACATTTCTATCCTGCCCTTCCATGCTGATACATTTGAAGTCTATGTCTTGCCTACAGTAAATCTCTGTCTTGCTTAAAAAGAAACTATTTCACTGTATAAGCAAGGCATATTGACAACAGATTTAACCCAGACAACTCAGCTTTATTCAATCAGAAGAATGCTGGCCTGGTTTCAGGTTTCTGGGATACAGGCACAAATGGACATGCCCCAAGTAGAATCCATTTGTTTTCCCATGAATGCACCTAGTAGGAGGTCAAATAAAAACAAATATTTTGGCTCTTCAGAGTAAGATAGATTTCTGGAGTATTTGTGATTTTGACTGGAAATGTGATTACGACAAGCAGAGGTAGCATCTAAAATATGTTCTGTCGAGAGCGAAAAAATACATTGTTTTCTCTCTCTCTCTGTTTTAAGCTGTGGTTATGCATTGTCTTCACTAATCAGGTTTATGAGAATAACAACATATATCTTTATGTTGCTCCGCTCTTTGTAGAAGCTCAGGAGTTAAGGAAAAATAGCTATTTTTTTAATCTTTTAGGATTTTTTTTGAATGTCGGTATAACTTACGCCAAGGAGTAGTTTATTGACTTCCCCTGTGATAGTAAGAATAAATCAATTTAGATCCAGTATACTAGGGGCCTCAGATTCTCTGTGGAGTTGCACCAAACAATGGAATAAATTGTGCAAGGGCAATTTGTCCCTAATGTTTTTGGCTATTTGATTTTGTTGAGGTTTTGCCGGTATTATTTAGATATTCACTGTAATTTATATGGCCATGTAAAAAAACCCTGCATATTTGCCTGCAGGGGAGTGAGTGCTCTCTGAAACAGTCCTTTGAACATAATAAAAGTGAAATCCCCAGGTAATAAAAAAAATCCCTGGCTTTTATGAATAATTCATTTGTGGAACAGGGGGGAGAGGAAGTGCTTTTTAGATTTATTCCCCCCCTCTGCTCCCCACTCAACCTGTTGGCAGAAATAAAGTCGAGGTTGGGAGTGGGTTCCTACATTGTGGATGTGCTCTCAGACACTTTTTTAAAGTCCTGGCCTAAAAGCTGCAATACAAACAGACACTAAATACCGGTAATTCTGATTTATTTGTTTGTTTGTTTTTAAAGTCTGTGGGTGTCTTCCCCTGTGTATTGACCATCTGGTTGTGGGTTAGGCTGTTTGGGATATGCCTGGCATGCTGAAAAGCAACACAAAATTGCAAAGTGATTGGAGGCCCATTGAGGATGGTTTGTTTGGGGTCCTCAGTGAGCTTTGACAGAGAGCAGGTGTTGTGATGATAAATTCAGAAAGGGGTTGAGGATTTTTCTCTTCAGCTGGTAAGTGTGTGGGAAATGCTGGAGGCGCGCTGTAAAAATAAATGATTCTTATTCAGGAGATACTGAAATGGAAACACTTTTGTGTCACAATCTCAATGGGAAAGCTGTTGGAGGATTTTACCATTTTCACCCCATAGCAGTGGTTTGGGTTCAGCACAGGAGGGTCCAAACTCAGAGCTGAATTATGGCTGTTACGCCTAAGTGAGACTTAAAAACAGAGTTTCAGTAAGGTTCCCATGAACAAGTGTCCCAGCCATGAACATTGCAACAATACCTATTGCTGTATCTTTGGTTTTTGAAATAAAGCTGGCAGTTTCCAAAGAGAGGATATTGGAGGAAATTTTCATAAGGTGTGAGGGGTGTACACCAGGCAGTAGAGAATCAGTTCTCTCTGATTCTCTGACAGTTTCAGTGGATGTGATGCTCTTACAGCCCGTTAAACTTTGAATAATCCTTTTAGGAATAAAATATATTTTCTGTGACTGTGATTGTGCCAAATCATTTTAACTTGCCAAAAAGCTGCTTTGGAAAGACTTGAGGAAACCACAGCTGGGAATTGTGTCACAGATATAAAATGAGATTTATTTACTCTTCTACATCCAACACTGAAATAATAAGGAAGTCAGGAACAGATGAAAGAAACACTTGCTTTTTAGAGGTTTTTTTTAAAAATTTGATTTACTTTTTATAGAGTTCCTGTAGCAAATCTGCATTTTCAACAGGGACTTAATGCTCTTCTCACTGAGGTCGTTGGCCAAATGAATACTTGGAATGCGTCTGTTTTGGGGGTAGGGAGTAAAGTGCATGTGCTTCATGCCTCAGCAGCATCTTGAGGATTTGAAAGCACCATGCTTAGTGTGCAGGGCCTGTTCCCAAGCCCATATTCATTGATGCTCTTCTCTGCACGCTTGTTTCGCCTGTGGACCCTGCTTATCTTACTGTTCAACATCAGAATTCAAGTGGTGCCCAGGGACTGACTTACACAAATAAAGCATTTTATCACTATGATTTTTAAATGCTATAAAATGCTTCTGCATTTTGTGGGTCGCAAGGACCCTTGTTTGTGCTAGGAACATTTGTGGTCAGCTTCTATTTCAACATTTTCTCTTGGACAGTGTATATATCTATATAGAAAACTTGCAGGTTTTGCTTGGGTGTATATATCCAAATATAGACTAACCCCTGCAGATATATCTCCGTGAATCCTAATGCTTTCAGTGTAAATTAAAAGGAAAGAGACCTGCTGATGATAATTCTTCCGAAGTCTTTATTTTTTGGTGTTACTTGTATTTGCATAACTGATCAAGTTATGCAAGAGTGAGAGGTAAATGTTATGCTTTTCCTCATCTAATATACTGAGAGATGCATTAGCAAGAAATCTGTCTTCTACCCTGGTGTAGACAGGAACTTTCATTTATCAGAGATGATAAGGACTGTTGTAATAATGGGAATATGAAAATACAATACACCTAAGTACATGTACGTGTATGTACATCTTATCTCATTGTATGCATGTTTCTAAAGGTATTAGGCCAGTAAATTTTGTGTTCTGTTGATATGAATTATTTATTAAAATGCTCGTTTCAAAAATGCACCAAATGAAACATGTTAGAATGCAATGATTTTATTGCCTCTCAAATGAATGCCCATTAAAAAATAGTGCTTAATAATTTTTGAGTAACTGTTTTAATCATTGGACAGGTATCTACTTTATAAGCAGGAGCTGGCAGGGAGGGGAGTAAAGAAAGAGGCAGAGCAGAGACAACCAGAAACTGCTAATTGTTGCAGGTTCCATACCACTAGTAGAGGAGTAGAGAGTGGTTCCCTACTGGAATGTAGAGACAGCAGTAGCATGGTAAAGAAGCTGGGATTTGACAAAAGGTTATTTTAAACAATGAAAACGTTTTAAGGACTCTGTAAGAAGTAGTAGAATTCTTAAAGCATAGAGCATGGAGTCCTTTGTAGGTTCAAACCCTTAGGATTGTATAGTTTGAAACATTGAGA